AATGTGGATATCAATATAAACAGTAGCAATAAATTAAAGCCATACTTTAGGACCCATGATTGATCTTGTTTACACCTGCCTATCAACAGACCATTTTAGAGAAATATCCTACAGCCCAAAAATATAGTCCCTGATTGGAAATGTTTAATACGACAAATTTATAGGATTTTCGTTGCAAAATGAACCCAAATGACATTGTCTTTAATAGAATCAAAGACAATATATAAATTTCAATGCTTTTGTTTTCGATTTTTAATATGCCCATGACCCAAATGAGATGAAAGACGAAAACAAAAAATGGCGGATATCGAAGAGAAAAATAATAACGAAAGTAATAGAAATCACCAAATCTCCACAACCATTGATGAACATCAATATTGGGACGATGAACTGGACGAAGATATACTTGCATTTTGTGATAATGTGGGTGAGAATATTGACTTGTTTTTTGCTGAATAGCCGTTTGCCACAGAAAAAGATGGGTCTACAATTCACCAATAGACCTTTTCACGATAAAAGCCGCGCATGCGCATAAATACCCTTGAGTGGCAAGCCGTCTGTTTACATTCGATACAAGATGGCGTCCATCGATAAATTGAGAAAATTGAAACTAACTGATTTGAGAGTTCTTGCAATCGAGAAAGGGATAGATGCCAATGGTAAAAAGAAACAGGAGTTGATAGAAGACTTGTTAAACAGCCAGGTTCCAACTTCGGTTTTGACACCCGTACATAACCAGTCAACACCCGTCATCAATCCAACGCCAACCAAGTCTGCCACCAACGTCAACGATAAAGAGAACCTGCCTCCCTTTCATCGAGTCAAATATCTGCCGCAACTACCTTACGTAAAAGTTTTGTTTACGATGATTTACGATTTCCTGATAACGAGAGCAACAGAGTCAGGTGGAAGTGCTAATAATTTTAAAGGACTTGACAAGGCAGTCAAACACCATGATGCAGGAGACGTGAAAAACATTTCACATGCAAAGGTACGTAATCGTCCAACTAATATATGACATCAATTGTTTATGGTAGTAGATCT